GTTACTACAACATAACATATTAAAATGATTTAGCATCTCTTCCTCATAATATCATATTCACTCAGTGATACTATGGTTGATACTGCTGAAAAAACACTTATTAAATAATAAAATTCAAAATTCATAAGTACAAATGCACTTTACTTTCAGAAGTGCTACACTCTTTTCAGATGAATTCATGTTAACCCAACCAAAAACTGATATCCTTGGATTATTAGAAAAATATATCTGCATGCTGTACATTCTGCTGGAAATATCAAAACCTGTGCTTATGAAATCAGCCTGGAACCACATTCTATGATTTATAAAAGAAATTAGGCCCTACACTCAAAGGGCTGGTTATTAAATATTGTCTCTTTTAAACAAATCAGCATGCTGAAAAACATTTGTATTTTATAGATAAAAATTTCAAGAGATAGACATGAATATAGCCCTTAAACTTTAATCATGATCCAAAGATGCTATTAACAAAGGCTACCTTTGATGAGTTGATTTTTCTAAAGCATTTTAAAAGGTTAACAATAGACAGTTAACCTTCAAAATAAGTTCAAGGATCCTTCTTTAAATGTGTGGCTTCTGCTTACTTGGAATACAGATCAAAATACTACAACACTGTCAAGGAAAATAAGCTTTCTCTTAGTTACACATACATACATACCTTTAAAGGTATGTGTTGGGAATCTTGAGCACTTTATTTTCAATCTGTGCTCAAAGCAAGAGCTCAGCTGTCCATTATGACAAGGAAGACGAACAACCTGAGGTTATACCAGGACAGCTGCTTCTAATCACCATGTCAATTGATACACAGTTAGAAATCTGCCTCCCCAAAGAAAGAAAATCAATTTATTTATAGAACAGCCAGCATTCCAAACAGATGGTTACTGTGGTGACTACACTCTAAAGTTCTTGAGTTTTTACCGGTGACCAATAGGGGAAAAACTGTTGCCACTTATAACGGGATATTCTGTGAAGAGTGGTTTCTGCTCACAACACATCATTTCAAAGGATTTGTTAGGATGATCAGATGGGCTCAAGCTGAAACAGCCCAGTTATTAGTAAAAACTGCCTCAGGCTTTAAGAGGCTACAGAGCTTTAAAAATCGATGATACTTTAGTATTTACATCCTTAAAAAGACAAGCGAAGAGCAAACTAAACAAATGTTGAAAACGTATTCTTCAACACTATTTCAAAGTATTTCTAGTCATCATTCATACACCCATTTAGGAGACATATAATTAGACACTGTAACTCTATCAATATTGCCAATAAGCTAATGGGCATAGGCCAAGACAATGACACATAGCAAATATTTTTTAAAATCAGATGAAACAATTCACACATGTAGCTATTTATACATCTCATTTTAACCTTAAATTAATGGAGCCATGAAAGAAGTAAAAATCTACATGCATAAAAGTAATTTTATTTTAAATTTGTGGACTTTTGTATTATGCTGCTCCATTAGAAAATGTTATTGCTCTCTTATATTAGACTTTTATATTAGTGCCCATTAGACTTTTATATTAGTCCTGGAAGGTAAGATTATATTATTGTGTGTGCCAGTGATTAAGGTGGAATCATATAACCCTAGGCACATGAGTAAGCCAACAGAACCTTCTCTTCTGATGGCGGACTCAGGGGAGTGATATTGCAGATATATGAAGAGTACCATTCACCTCTCTTTTATTGATTCAGAGGTTGCATTAGAGAGGTGGGACAAAGTGTTCCCATTTGCTGCAATTCTTGTGAAGAGATGCCCTGGTGTAGACCAGACATCCATGGAGAGTTCAATAGAAAAGAAGAAACAAAAGTGGCTCTCTTTTAAAATTCATTCTTTCAGTTAGTCACTCATTTATTCTTCTAATTATTCAACACATGTTTTTTCAAGAACTGCAAAGCAACAGGAAAGTTGCTAAGACCTGTAAATACAAGTCTCTGAGCTACTTTGGATACAGAGGCAAGTAATAAAAACAAAACAATATAGCACACAGTAATAATGGATGGACCGTGGTATCAAAACTGCAGGAAATACACTTCTGAGAGAGAAAGAATACCCAGTTAGCTCAAGACAGAACTGAAGCATCCCTGAAACCAACCAATAACGTAGGTAGTAGTATTTCATAGAGCATATTGGAAGTAAGCAAAATTGCTGTCAAAATGCAATCATAAAGGCTCAGGACTTAGGGATTACATCTTGAACAACTGCATAAGTGGAGATTAAGATTTGGTCATAGAAGCCCTAGTATAAAACAATGGGAGTCTCCTCACAAAACCGCGTGGACAGATGAACAGATACATGGAGGTGTTTCCAGAAAGAACCATAACACTTTCCTTACATAGGTTATTATGGAGGTTCTCCATACACAAAACTCAATATAAACTTTTTAAAGTTTTTCATAAATGTGTGTGTTTATGTGTACTACAGAAAAGGATATAATTCTAGGTGTAAATGTGGATGCGCACGTCTCTCCAATCTCCCTCCATACCAACTTTTATTACAAACTTACCTGTTACCCAAGGAGATGAAAAATAGAAACCCAACGTCTTTAGATAATAGCAAAGAAATCCATGATTTTAAGAGTAACAGAAACCATCAGTAATGACAAGAATAGTTATCCACTCAACAAAGGCTTGACATCATACAAATGACAGACTCCTGACTTTCCCAGTACAACTGACTTTATCTGTTTTTGGGTGATTTGAAACCTGCCTCAGGTTAAAATTGTTTGCAGGCATCCAACTCTAGCTTACTTCCCTTCTTCCTTTTCCACTGAGAAGCAATTTTTTGTTTCGTGTTTTCGGTTTTCCCTCTTGGCCCACAGACAGCAGGCAGGCTCCACACTCCACAAAACTCTCTCTGAGACATACAGAAGCATAAATGCCCCGTAGGAAATTCCCAGATATTTTCAGCAGCTGCCCCAAGCGTCCTTTTACTACTTTCCAAAGGACCTTCCTGGGTTTAAATGAGCCCATTTTATAAGAATACTAACCTTCCAAATAATATTTATTGTAATGTAAAAACTACAATTTCCAGAATATACAAATCAGTCCCTGTTGAGCAGCATAAAGCCATTAGTTCCAGATAGCAGACATTCCTTCTCACCCTTTAAACTCTAAAGCTTGTCATCTCATTACACTTTGAGAAATGTTTCTACCATTTATCTTCCTTTTTAACTCAATGGGAAATTATACAAAAGGCTAACACATGACATTTTGCAAATAATATTCATCATGAGTGAATATAATATATATGGTTACAATTATTCTCCATTACCTATATTCCTGAATGCACATTGTATGTAATCACACAAAACACATTTCTTTCTCCCATTACTTCTTTCTTCATGTTTGAGTTAATATAATTTTACAAGTGATGATTTGAATTCAAAAAGGATCATCAAAAGAAAATGAAAAGGTTATATAAATGTCACTGGCTAGCTGCAAATTTTACATGCTTTTGCTGAAATCAACTCTGTGAACATCTGGGCTGGGTTCCTTTTGTAAAGAGAAATGTACCTACATGAGAGAAGTAGTATTCCTGGCAATAGCTTCTTGACATAGAAGAGGGTTAAAAATGTGTAAAAAAGTCCATCTCCTAATCACCTATTTATACAAGCATTGCCCCAGTTTTTCTTTTCTGTAAGGGAATGCTGGATCTTAATAGGAAAGTTCATACTGTTCATTTCCTTCTTCATGTATAAAAGAAGGATTTTCACAGCCTTATATATACTTTTGGAAATCAGAGCATGTCAATTAGAACTCTCACTGGCTTTTCTAACCCTTGTGATAGATGGTCATGTAGACAGGAGGATGTGGACCTGGATTTTTGTTGTTGTTGTTAGGATTACATAATACCAACAATGATGCCCATAAAGCCTCTCATAAATTGTCAGAAATAGAACATTACAAATTATTTTATCAATACAGCTGAATTCCTGTTAAATTAATTTATGCATTGATTTCTTTGTCTAGACTTTGAGATCTTGAAGGCAACCCTGTGTCTTCCTCTTGTTAGTATCTTCTCATAATGTTTCATTTTTTTCCTTAAAAATAATATAATACCTCAGAAGTTTTTTAAATAAGTAATATGACTATTGGAGAAATTCTAGAAAATTGTAAAGAATGAAATTTCTCATAATCACATCATCCACTAATGGGATTTTCTCACGATTTATTTTTTCTTTTTTAATGTTTTAAATTCTTTCTTTTAATTTTTGCATACTTTATTAAAATTTATTTTTAAAAATTATTTCTAATGAGTTCTGAAAATATTATGTTTTATAAAGAAAATTTATAAAATATAAAAAAGTATAAGGAAAATAATGAAATTACTCATGATCTCACTACCCAGTGATACCCAGTGATGTTTGCTTCTATTTCCATATCTATCCTTCTCTAACTAAAGTAGGATAATAGTTTATTGTCCCACATACTTTTCCACATATCTATTGATGAGTAATTTACCATGTCATTAAATATTCTTTAAAAATATAAATTTTTATATTTGCATAATTTTCCATCTTGTTTCTGTGGGAAGTCATTTAATCTTTCCCTACTCAGATATTTAAGAAAATAAGGCATTAGAAAACATCTCGGTTTAAACATTAAAAAAAGTCTCACCAACTCAGTCAGATTTATGTGTGTAACATGAAAATATAGACTGACTTCTCTTAAATTGTCTTAAATTGAGCTGATATATGTTAATTAAATTTGGACCTCTTTCCATAGTGCTTACTTCATTTCTCTAGCATAATACTTGTGCCCAGAAAGGAACAAAGAAAAAAAATATGTAGGCATTTGAGATTAAGTATAGTCTTTTTCATTTTAGGTCAAAATTGACTTCATCGTACAACTTCTCAAATACAATTTTCTACAATATTATGATGATAAACAACATTTTATTTAAACAAGTAGAATAGCAGCAATAATGGAACACATATTAGGCATGTTTAAAACCTTATTTTGTCCTGCAAAGAAAGAAAAATGGCAAAATTGTTTACCTGGGGATATGATATAGAAGAAATCCTTAAATTCATCCATCCAAACCTCTGCCAGTCTTCTGTTGTTCTTGTTGATGACATGACCGGTACCACCAGGGAAGGTGTATGGAGTTGCCTTCCGAAAAACATGACCAACGTGGGAGCAAGTCACAATCTCCAGTGAGCCTCCACATTGCCAAATCTGGAAAAAAGAGTTTTGTTGTATAACAATCATAGTAGATAATGCAGTAATATTGTCTAAGCAGCAATTGAGGCTAGCTCAGAAAAGGTCAAATCTTCAGATCTTATACGGTTCAAACAAATATCAGATGGACACAAAATTTAGGACTAGTATACTTGGGTTTGGCAAAGGATTCTAATTTGGAAGAGCCTGATACATTTAAATACAGTAGCATTGGAATTGTGGAAGTAAGATGTAATTATTTTTAATGTGCCTTTATTAGACTACCTATTTTTCAGTATCTAATAGTTAACCTATTGTCTATGTAATAGGTATTTGGTATCCAAAATCTGCCATGAATGAATGAATTGTACATGTTAGATGCCGTGGTCAACAACAAAATTTGATTTGGAGAAAAATCAATCTATTATACTCCATCCACCTGGAATTTTAAACAAACATTCACTTTCAGCTGTCCGAATCCTCTGTACCTTAGGCCTTTGGATTTGTTATTATTCTTATTAAAATATGCTAAGTATCCTTTACATCTGTTCAACATCCATGCACCCTATAAAGCCCATTTCCAAGATAATTTCTTCTAGGAAGCTCTGTGGGGAGTTTGGTATTGTGTGACTTTTGTACTTTAAACATACTTTTCATTAAGAACATACAAAGTACTGCATTGTAAGAAATTGTTCGCTTCACTATTGCTCCCTTAAAACTATGAACTTTCGGAAGACATATGTCATATATTTCTTGGTATCCTAGATTTACTGTTCCATTGAGGCTAGGTATTAAGTAAAATAGCCATAAAACATTTAATTCCAAAAAATTATATGATATAGCCATAGGTTATAGTAATAGCATGTTTGTATGTGTGTATTTTATATATACACGTATGAAAAATATGGATACAATACATGTACACATATACTACACACACTCATATATTTACATACATGCATTTACATATGTGCTATAGGTTTTCTTTCCCAATAAATGAAAGGCATAGCTATTGCTATCTGTAACTAACTTTGTTCTTATTTTAAGGAGAGCTGATTATTTTGAAAGAAAAGATACTCTCCTATTGATCCCTCAAGTTATACTCATCTTAGAAGATGGCTGCTGTTGGTCCTGGGTAGCAGTAAGAGACACTTATTTTCTCTAGAAAATGAAAGGTGATAAATAACAAGTTATACTCATCAACAGCGGTTCAGTGGTTTCTGCATTACATGTACAATCTATTCTGTCTCATTTTGTAATTGTTTAAATACTGTAATGCTAATGGAAAAGATGTTCCATCCAAACACTGAAATGATGTTTACTATAAAGGAGGAATGGAATTCACCATTCCCCTAGAAAGACTGGGTAGTTCATTCTTAACTCATCAAATTATTTAATTGATTAGTAACTTTCTCATCTTTCTAGCATAAAGCCTATAAACTTTCCTGTAGTTACACACCTCTTTACATTCTTCCTTCCTATTAAAATGAAAGAGGTTGACCCTTCTCCTACCAAAGACAAATCAATACTTGTATGTCAGTCTACAGCATATCCCTCAAGCCTGTCTTAAGGACTTCACTGGTTTGTTCTTCCCTCTGATTTTCTCCTGAAACAGCAATTATTTCCCTCATTACCAGATTATGTCTGTCTTTACATAATATCTCCTAAAACCTGCTATCTTTCAGCGATAAAAAAATAGGTTAACAAATTTTTTAAATTACAAAACACAACAAAAAGTTCATCCCTTGGTCCATATTCCCATCTGACATACCTCATTTTTCTGTTCTTCTTCACTAAAATTAACATAAAAATTTTATTGATATATACTGCCCCTCTTCCTCCATTTTCATCCACTTTTCTACTCATTGTGAAATGCTGTTTAGTTCTGCAGTCCCACGAAACTGCCATGATAAAAATCACAAATTTTTCCCTTGACAAATATCTAGTACTCTTTTCTTGGATCATCTTGCTTTTCATCCTCTGTATAATTCTGACTCCAAATTTCTATTTAAATGTTGGCATTATTCTTTCTTTATTCACTCACTAGGTGACCTTATATGTATTATTACTTTATGTACGATCTGAATACTCAACTCCTCAACAGTAACATCTCAGCCCAGACTTCTCCTCTGAGATACAGACTTGTGTATCCAAACACCTACTTGATACCGCCTCTTATATGCCTCAGAGACATCCAAAGAAACATATCTGAAGTGGAATTGTTTTATCCCACCGTGTCAGCCAGATTTTCTTTTCTTTTTCTTTTTTTTAATCATAAGAAAATGGAGCCACTACTCACCCAGGTGGTCAATTCAAAAACAAAACAAAGCAACCACAGGAAGCCCCCCTCCAACAAACAAACAAACAAACAATACTCTAGGAGTCACCGATTTCTTCTTTTCCTTCATCACACATATTCCATCCATTAATGAATCCTAGTGGAGCTATCTATAAAATAATTCTCAGTCTATCCATCTTTCTCTGTCTCTACTGTCACCATCCTTGTCTTAATCATTGGTATCTCTTGTCTAGCAGTTGTAATAGACTCGTAATTGTCTTGCTGCTTTCACTGTTGCTCTCCTATAATTTGTTTTGTACTGAGAAATCAGAGTGGCCTTTAAAATTTTTAATCATGCTATTTTATGTCCCTGCTAAATCC